TGGCCTTGACTCTTGATAAATGACACAAAACTGACAACGTTTTGACATAAATATAAGTTGGGAGTTGGGACACAGGTTAGAAATGTGACATCAATATTTTACCAGGACTGTCCACTGCTTGTGGTCAAGTGATAAAAATAATCTCTTGTTTTTATCAGTAAACAAATTTGTTATACCTGTTTGACAAATGATGTATTTACTTGTTATTTGAATACCAAGGACAGTAGATTCAGCTAGATTCAACTAGGTATATAAACAAATGAGGAACTTTGGTTTTTAAGATATCATTTTCGTAGATGTGTAGTTTATCTGATTTATTACATTTTTATTGGTTTTTTTTTATGTTTTAGTCCTCATAAAGTTCAATAAAGCCAATGATTTTGAAAATTATATTAAAAATATTGCTTATAATAAAACTGGTCTGACCTAATTCATATACATGTTGCAACATTCTACCAAACAAAGGAAGTTTACCAAATTTGTCTTGATTAATTTTGTTCTTACTGCCTCAGAACCTGGTATATATAGTTATGTATTCAATTATTGTATATAATCTGTAAAAAGCAATCAAGATTGTTCAATTTGATTATATTTCAATTTTCACTTTCATATCTCATGCTCTTTTTTCATCTTTGCACTTCGATGGTTTTATTTTTTTTCCCCAGCTGTTCAATAAAACTTTTGTACCTCAGTAGGTACACATTTTACATTTTAATTAAACTGATTCTTTATTAACTGCTCATTTATTTAAATTTCTTTCAAATTCAGTCTGTCAGGAGACAGTTCAGAACATGCACTTTCCTTTCTATCTCTCTCCTCATTTACATGTTATGTAAAACCTTGTTTAATGAAAAGCTTCGTAGAAAAGAAACTCTGTTTTCTTGATGTGTTGGAAATATTAATACAAATGTACAAAATAATCCAGTGGATTTGGACTCTTTTCCCATAGAATTACATTATTACATTGTAGTTTTTATTATTCTTTAATTTAGTAAATTTATTATAGAGCACATGCTTTCCACATGTCAATATGGAAGTGTTTAAGATATCACAGAGCTCTTTTGTCAAATGTAAAATAGATTCATCATGAACTGAAGTTAATGCAATATTGTTCAATTAAGGATTTCCCTGCATCATCATTTCACTTGTTTAAAATGGAAAATTGAATTAGAGGGCCTTGTTATCTAATGGTATTACGTAATTGAACGCAAAAATAGTTGAATGCTTCTGAAATTGCTTACTTATAGTCCACTTATGAGCAATTTATATTGGATATTTTTTGTTACATGTTTACACAGTTAGCATTGAAAATAGTATTTAAAAAGTGCTTCAGTACACTTCACTTCAGTGTGAATAGAAATTAAGTATCGGTTAATGTTTGGGTGTTTTGGTTGTGTGAATCTGGTTACATTGTTCTGACGTAATTATCATTGTTCCATAGGTTCAGATGCATAAAAGAGTACTTACCACTTCATGTATAAGCTTCTGAATACAAGGGGATTATTGCTCGTCAGTGAGTAGTAAAATTGTTTGATGTGCATATGGTTAAGGAATTAGAAATAAGAGTGTAGCAGCTGCAGGATAGCAAAAATGTCATTGATGGCCTTTTTAGCTCGATTAATGGTTTCTATGGCTTCACTGATTTTTCAAATTAATTGTATTTTACTAAAACTACATATGTGCACAGTAAGAAAATTACAAAGATTAGATCCATTATTAGATGTGAAATTGATAATGATGATGAGTGTAATTTCTTTTTTAAATGTCAATTAATCAAGAAATATTTTGATATATGATTTTTATAATTATTTATTCAGAAACTGATATTAAAGCAACCAAGTCTTTTGAAATGAAAAGGGGGGATGGTACTATTACAAGATAACTGATTCACATTTCTTTGTAAAATTGTAGTTTATTAATTTGATTAAAAAAGAGATATGTTGTTTAATGGTATAATTATGTCGATTACACATCAACCCAACAACACAAAAACACCATAATCATCTAGAGGTCAATATATGGTCTTCAACAGTTCAATAAACAGGTGCCTATTTGTATATTTTGTACTTTTGATTTCAATTTGGGATTTATTTACACAGGATTTTTACTGTTGACTTTTTAGTTACTTAACTGTTTGATACACTTGTTATTCATTCAAAATTGTAAATATTTCTACATATCATTGTCAGTTTATAATATTTTGTCAAATTCATAAAAAAAACAACATGATTTTACTACATCATCCTGAGGCACAGTGGTTCATTGTTTATGATTGTCTACTTATTCACACACATTTTAAGTACAAAAATTACTTGGCAGTCCCCTTCTTAAAAGTTCGAGAATTTGAATTCCTTAAGTGGATAAATGGTGTACAGTGATAGAATACATATTTAATGTATCTCTTTACCCTGCAATGGATGACTGAATGATGAAAACAAGTTTGTTTACAATGAATCTGCCATAAATTCTGTGTAATAAATATCCTCATATCAATAGATAAGCCTTGTCCTAAAGTCCCTTAATTATGCAGAATATTATCAAATTGTTGTAAAAGTTGTATACTTGTGTTCTCTAAGTAAATGTCAAGATCTGTATTATAGATTATGGGAAACAGTCGGCTTTGATTTCTTTATTTGCGAAGCTGATTTTGCATATCTAAATCCAATGGAAAGAGCTCAGAAACTAATGAAACAGAATGTCATACATTCAAATCACAATTCACAATAGAAATACATTTGAGTATTATATAACAAGAGTTAAATTAAATTCAAAATTTCTTTTGTACTTAACAACCAAAATTGTATCTCTTTCAAATATTTTTGTTGCAACTTGTTATTTCAAAGTGGATTTTATCAGGAGCTGTTTTAACAGTTATAAGTATTTCTAAAACAAGACATCTTACCTCAAGTGATTTTACCTTAAATTTATTCTAGTTTCATTTGATAAAATTAGAATATTATTGACTACTTGCAAAAGATTTGTTAATACATGTATTGTTTCAGTTATAACTGGTACTCTGGTATTCTACAAAAGCTCCCATTAATGAGAAATTCAGTGTTTAACAAGTATTTGAAAGAACTATTTATTCAAGGCCTTTGGTTGTATAGTAAAAGGCATTGTAAGGTTTTAGATTAATCAATATATCAATAGGATTTGTTAATACATGTATGGTTTCAGTTATAACTGGTACTCTGGTATTCTACAAAAGCTCCCACTAATGAGAAATTCAGTGTTTTGCAAGTATTTGAAAGAACTATTTATGCAAGGCCTTTGGTTGTATAGTAAAAAGCATTGTAAGGTTTTAGATAAATCAATATATCAATAGGCAATGTTATTTGTCTGTGGAATATAAGACCTTATTGTAAAGAAGCTTGCAGCTAGCCATCCCACTCATTGTATGTATAACAGAACTTATTAACTTGAAAGGCAGGATAAGTGACCACTGGCAAAATCAAAGAAGCCTTTTAACCACCATTCCAAATGATGTCTACTAAAGTGTGAAAAGAATGATGAAACTCTTTGTTTGTGGCAAAAGATAGGAAATTTAGTATTCTCTTCAATGAGATGTATAACAACATTTATTCAGCTAGTTTATACTTATAAGGTACTTAATCATGAACTATCTGAGGTCAATTTCATAGAATCGATTACTGAATAGAACACTTCCGCATTTGAATTGTAACAGACAAATAAGACATCTACAAAACATTAGGTGTTATGGATCAGATAACTTTATAGCAAATGATATTTAGTAATCTTCAGATGATTTGAGACAAAGTCAATGTTTAAGTTAATTAATTTGAGTTGTACCCAAAGTGCATAGAACTAGTGTTATCTGTATCAAATTATTTATAACTAGCAATAAATTATACTTGAATTTCAGACAAAGCTAATGTTCTAAGTTTAAATTGAGCAGTACCCAATGTTCATCATAGACAGAAAACCCATCTAACATGTCTAAAACCTGATGCAATATATATAATATCAATTACTTGAATGCCAGCATGCTTGGAACAAAGCTTATGTTCTAAAACCTCATGCAATCTATAAAATATCAAATATTTGTAAACTTTATGAAAATGTCAGCATGCATGCATGATGCACTAGTGGCATCGCTGACATTTGGAAAATGAAATCTCAGGTGCCAAAATAAAATTAGTTCCATATTTCACTGTATAAAGTAGATGCAAATGTCATGTTTGTTTGTCATTTTCATAATTACATCAATCCCAAACAAATCTAAATCTGAAATAATAAAAATATACAATTTGAAAATATCATACAGGCATTGCAAGAATTGAACATAGATTGCCAAGATAATTAATTGTATGTTGGTAAAGAGAGATATGTTATTCCCTTGGTATTAATTGTTTGGCACACTTGTAATGTAATCAGAAAATGCTTCACTTGTAATTTGTTAGATGAATTATAAATGAATGCAAAGGTAAACGATTAGAGAAAATGTAAACAAAGTATTGATGGGTACATTGTTGTGGCCGAGATATAAATATGTTCAGTAAATAAAATTGTTGATTCATCGAAAGTTCAGTTAAAGTTTAAAATGTCGCAAACTTTACTTCAATAAAGGAAGTCATGAGAAAAAGCTGGGCTTTGACGTTTTAATTTTAATCAATATATTGAAAGATATTCAATATAGAAGGTATCGTGTAGACATAAATGGTAATTTTTTTGTCTGTGTCAGCGTCTTCCAGCTGTGTATTATCTTGTTTAAAACAAATTGAGCCATGGGCTAGTTGTTTAATGGAATATTACAGGGCATTTCATTAGATGTTATAGTGTTGATACAAATCGAAATGAAACATAGGTCATTCACTTCTAATAATTCACATTCAAACTATGTCTTTTCTTGTCAAGAAAACTAATTTGTATGTTTCGTAGTTGCATTAAATTGCATGTTCAAATGATATTTTATGGTTATGAATAAGTGTCATTCGTTGCAGATGAAAGGAAATTGAATATTTATAATTTGTATTTTTCAGGTGTGCGTTTAGACCGTGTGCGTGGTGGCAGACAGAAATACAAGAGAACTGTAGATTCTCAGCCTATCATACAACATATCCTCCCTATGGTGAAAAAAGCTTGTATAGAAGGTGTGTATTGATCAAAGGGAGATAACTATTGAATAATTACTCTTTTTTTCCAACATTGCTAGCAGCTGAGAAATTACACTACTGGTGTGTGCATTTGTTACACTTGAGTTCTGACCCTTTAATTGATTTTATGAATCTTATCTTATTAATATAGAACCATTTGATATCAAAGGTTAGAGAAAAGGGGAAGGGGGCTGGTCATGATTGTATTAAACAACTGAAAAAAAAAAAAAAAAATGTATCATTCCCTCAAAATAAATCAAAGTATATAGCAGGAATCCAGTACAAATATACAATTCACCTTAGCAATTAATGAAAATCTACTGTTGCAGTGAACAGAAAAACATATTTACTAATTTCTTGTAGGAACTGCTTCAATGAATTGAGACACTGTACACAAATATATAAATATTGAAATGATACACATTTTATATTTCAGTGTGTGAGAATAAGATTTTAACACAGTTGGGCAGTATAGAATTGCAGTTAGATAAACTGTATGCAAATCCTGACCCAGATCTTCAGGGTGACGAAATTCGTTTCTTAGCAGCAGTATCAGATTTAGCCGATAGAGAACTTGTCATTACAATCAGCTGGGCCAAACAAGTACCAGGTAGATATTATTATTAGGATGCAGAGGTCCGAAAAAATATTCAATTGGCTAAAGGTTTTAATATTCAAATTTTAATATATTCCAGTCTCCTTCTAAAAAAAAAAAGGTTAGTCTACAGAATATTGTGAATGGCAGAAGTTATAGAAAGACAGTTTTGTTTAATGTCTTTTAAACAACTTTAAATTGCATTAGGTAGTATAAATTAAATGTTTCAGTAAATGCTCTGAAGTGCTTTGCAATTAAAAAAAAGTATGTTAACATACCTGTATACTTCTCCTAAAATTACAAATTTGGGCACTTCTGTGATTACAAGATTATGGTTAAGTTTTTTTCCTTCAGTTTTTGAAAAGTAGGTTGATTATTGTGCAATATAGGAAATAATGAAACCAATTATTTGCTTTTTGCTTTTCCAGGTTTTTGCAACCTGTCATTAAGTGACCAAATGAACTTACTACAACATTCATGGTTAGAAATACTTTGTCTCAACCTGGTGTATAGATCTTGTCCATATACATCATACATACGCTTTGCCGAGGATCTGCAACTTAATCCAGATGAAAGCAAACAATGCCAGTGTTCGTTAGAACTTGATAATCTCACTAGAAAACTTGCCAAAAAGTTCACCAATATGGGTGTTACAAAAGAAGAATACCTTCTTCTGAAAGCCATGACACTATGCAATACAGGTATGTTTACCTCATTCTAATCAGATGGTTCTCCATGGGAGCTACAGCTTCCTCAATCAATAAAAGCTGTTCATCATGATAAAGCCAGGAGTTCTGAAAGTGGCACAACATAAATCATTCAATCATTTGAAAATTTAAAAAAAAAGTTAATAGACAAATAAAAACAAATTTATTACAGAAATTGCATAGCTTAAAAGAAAAATAAACATGATTTGTTAAAAATATTGTATGATTCATGACAGTTGTGGTTTTCAACAAATTGAATGTAAAAAAAATCATTATGACTGTTTGTAGAAATTCTATTATCTTACTTTTATTTGATACTGCACTGTTAAGCATGCCCATTTGTTTGGAATGGCAGAGTAATTAGTCAAACCCAAATAAAACTATTTCCAATGTGGAAAAACTTGCTACATTATATACAGTCCTTTAGTCACATGTAACAGAAACGAGCTCAAAAGAGGTTATCACTTTAAAGTTTCTAGACCAATGAGAGGCTGGGGTGTAAAAATTCAATTATGCCTTCATAAAAAGAAAAATAAGATATAAGTGTTTTTAAAGATTTGTATGTTTTCTTATTGCAGATGTAGTTATAGAAAATAGTGAAGCTATAAAGGCATTACAAGACCGACTACAAGATGCTCTGTTAGAATATGTCAAGAATCGTTACTCTGGGAATCTACGGAGAGTTGGACATTTATACATGTTGCTGCCATCCTTAACTCACATGAAACTTCTCACCAAACAATACTGGTTTGACATTAAAAAAGATGGACGTGTAATGATGCACAAACTATTCCTAGAAATGTTAGAGGCAGATTCCTGATGAAGCAGTCTTATAGTTGAACTTGTGTGATATTTTAAAAGTGCTAAAAATAGAGCTTTCAAAATAGTTATATTTAGAATCAGGAAGTTTTATTGTTGTAGATACTGTTATGTAGATTTGCGTGTCAATTTAGAGACATGTGATATTGTGTGATGCACCAAGTCTTTGAAAAGGATTATAGACAGATAATGGAGCTAATCTTTATCCTTTGTAATGCTTTTTCGTCCTTCTTTTGCTTTACTTGTTACAAACAAATTATGCAAACTGGTAGAGGGTATATTTAGTCAAGAATCTATAAAGTTCAGTAAAAATTTATTGAACTTGTCTATTTAAAAGTAATATAATATAAAGTATGAAATTTTTAGTTACCCATAATTAGTTTATTATTATTTATAGAGTAATCAAGGAAAAGAAGGATGTGTAATACAATAAAGTGAGAACTGAAAAGTGTAAATAAAACTAGAATGATGGGTTATGCAGATGACCAAAATATCTTGACTTAGGGATTTATAACTAACAAACAAACTGTGATACTTTTCAATATTAATCAGATAGACAGAAATGTATGTTTTACTGCAATCACCTTTCTACTACAAAAATGTCCTTGTAAAATATTGTCAGCTGTTGGATCAATATAGCTCTGGTGAAACAACTTGTAGTTGGTGAATTTAACCATAGTCAAACCTTAGCAATTTTGATTTCAAAAGCTGTAAAATTATCATATAATTCATGTTATAATCTGTCAGAATAGAATTGATGACTGTCAAGAAATTTTGTGTAAGCAGAATGGTATTTACTACAAAATTTGGTACATTTACAACAGAACTCATCCATGTGTTAACCAATTTTCTTGCAGATAATTAGTTTACTTAAGATGTTGTCAACAAATTATAAGTTCATTTTTCAATCCAATTTAGAACAGCTTAATTCAGTTTTGAATTGCAGAAGTTTAAATAAAGTCTTGATAGAATTAATTACTTAAGAAAATTGGTTAACATGTGAATGCTGAATGCTGTAAAGTATATGGAGGCTCAAACTGTTTCATCTTTCCTCTAGTCATAAATTTTCCTTTAATTGAAATCTGTTATCAAAGACTTGGTGAAAATAGAAAAAAAAATGTGTTCCAATTTATTTTATTATACTAAAGTGTGATATATTATTTACGTTTGAAAATAACCATTTTTATAGTTGTTAGAGGATCAGGAAGTATTGTTTTTTTTATCTCCTTACCTGGTAAAAAATGTCTGTCAGGGATATTTGCCATATTTCATATCCATGTTTGTTATGCTGTTATCTTCATGTCCGTTTTATGCAAAATTTTTACGAATATATATGACAACTATTTGAAAACTTACACACTTAATTTATGAAATTTACTAGTTAATAACTTTGTTCAACATGGTCTGTGTGAATTATGTACATCAATGGGAGTGGCTATTTTGACCAAGATCACAATATTCTACATATTGTGGTTTATATTCTAAGTTTGAACATAATTTATTGTCCAAAAACAATGACAATAGGATCAGTTTTGCAACTTAGAATGTCTTCTCTATTTTAAAATTTTTTTTTAAAAATACCGAACAAAATACAATGTATTCTTAGGTCTACAGGAAGATTCATTTCCATGTAGGGTTAACCTTTGGCATCAGGGGTAAAACAGTACTAAAAAAAAGTCCTTAGTTTAATGAATGTTCTCCCAACAAACCCTATTAGAATCAAATCATGAAGTATTAAATACTCAACATAAACATAAGTAGTCTTAAAGATCTTAAAGCGCAGACATTCAGATTTTAGCTATAGATTTAGTTCAAATACAATGTCTCTCTCAATAAAGTGAATAAATACAATATTACAGACCACTGAACACTCTTTTGTACCTTACTAATATTGTATGTTAAAGAAATGGCTACTTGTATACCTTACTGTGATAGTAAGGGGCATTATGTTTTTCCAGTCTGTGCTTCCATTGGTCAGTCCATCCTGTATCGGGCTGAAGTTTTTGTTTATTTTGGTTTACCATTAAGTTGCGGTAACATTAACTTTAAACTTAGTACATAGCTTCATTAGATATGAACTTTTAGAAATAGATACTAAATAAGGCTTTTTCCCGTATTTCACAGTTCACACTAAACGTGGAAATATGATAGTGTAAACAGGGATGATGTCCTACGGACACATATTCTTGTTTTTTTTTTATATTACAAGATTATTAGAATTGTTAAACAATTAGTTAAGACTTCTGTGGTGAAAATATTGCTTTAAATAATAATCATGAATCACATAGTTCATGTGTTTTATACATGAATGATACCAGGCCAGTTACTGAAATAGGTTATTCATATTATCATTGCTATCCTTGGCAGACAAGATTTTTGTCCTTACTTTCATTGGTGAATTTAATCTCAAACTTATTTTTTATGAAGAAATCCATTGTAAATATCATAGACTAAAAAAGTAGAAGATTTTTTTTCATGATTGTTCATTCATACTTGTATATGAATGAATAGAATCTAGTCAAGTCATCAGAATTCATGATGTAAATGCATATAGATCATAAGTATTAGAAAAGAATGAAATTACATTTAAAATCATTGTCAGTATAGTTTCAAAATTGAAGGAATGCATGAAAGGTCCAAATATGGATTATTTTAATGTGTATATAAGAAAATATATATATTGTAATCATTCAAAGAAAAATTGATATATAAAAATAAATTGAAAAAAAAAAAAAAAAGTTAAAAATTAGAAAAAAAAAAAAAAAAGAAAAAAAAACCAGAAAATATTCATAAAAAATAATAAAAAATAATAAATAAATCTAAAAAAAAAAGAAAAAAAAAAAGAAGAAAAATATAAAATACTACAAAAAAATATTAAAAAAGAAAAAAAGGTAGAAAAAAATAGAAAATGAAATTAAAAAAAAACAAAAAAAAAAACACAATGTCCCAGTAAATACAGGAAAATCTGTATTATGGGGTTGTTTCATGAATAAACAAAGGATGCATATGATGGTTAATGGACATTTGCTAAATATCGTCGGAATTGCAGTGTGCTATTTCCTATAGCCTGTCTGTATTACTGAATGATAATTATCAACTATGTTCTATGTTCTTTTCATCATCCTTTTGATATATTTCTGAAATAAACCTTTACGTAAAGCAAAGATTAAAGAATGTGATATAATCATAAAATTGTTAAAAAAAAGTAAAAAAAATATTTAAAAAGTAAAATAAAAAAATATGAAAAGAATTGCAAATCCCACATAACCGACACTTATATATTAATGTGATACTACTATTAAATTTATTGAATTAAATTCACCATTGAGAGTATGGACGATTATCATGAGTTTTTGTTTGAGTGTGAACCTTACCATTCCTTTTTTGTCATTGAGAGATAAATTGTATGAAATTTCTTCTGATTGGAAGTTACTTTGAAGAGTTTATACTATTATTGAAAAGGAATACAAAAGATTTATTGTGATCATTTTACAGAATATAGATAACATATATATCATTCTTATAAAAGATCTTGCATTTCAATAGTTTAACTTTGTTTTTGTCTTATTGTATTTAAATGATTTCATTGCTGTTATGAATCCGTCCAGAGTACATCAAATGAACAAAAATCCATTGCATGTACATGTATTGAAAGTTTCAAAAGAATAGTTAAACTTGCCTGTTACGCCACATATCATTTTAATTATATTAAGTGTGTCAGACTTGCATGTTGATGTGGAAAAAGTGTCTGTTTAAATATGTCTGTGTAGTAAAAATGTAAGGATAACAGCTATTGAACATGTAAATGCTTTAGAATTCCTTGTTTTAGGACATAACAATAAATAATGCTTTTCCTTCCCGGTCTAATTCATTTTTTTCCGCAGGAAATGAAACAAGTTGCTTTAGAGGTTAATTATTTTTAGTCATCTTACATTCAAGATGACCAAAACAATTAATTTTTTATCCCTCGCTTTAATTAATATTTTAATTAGATTTCTACGAGAAATACAATGCCAATAGTTGAAGTGAACTACTACTAAAATTATTTTCATGCTTTTGAAGTCTTTATAATAAATTTAAAAAACTCTTCAAAGTAATGGACAGATTTCATTGAGTGGCTTGCTTTTGCTTGCATATTTCATTTTATTGACTGCCATTTTGACTGTACTTAGAATTTTTTTGGTTTTACGAGAATGGTTGAATGTGTATGTGTACACTTTTTGTTCCTTTGGTCATATTTATTTACACAATAGCTTTACAGATGGCATTAAGATTCTGTTAAATTAAATATAAAGGATATATATATATATATATATATATTATATTATATTTATTTTGTTTTTTTAGTTTTGCATTTAACAGAAATGAATACAGCAGTCTATTTCATTTAAAAAAAAATTCCGCATGAAGTGTAATTCCAAGAACATATTTGTCATAATAAATTAATTGCCTGTTGTTAATAAATCACACAGATAATTTTTTTTCAGTTTAAAAACATTTATTTTACTTTGATTTTTATTCTTTTATCATCTTTGAAATAACTGTTACAGTCGAGAAGTTTAAATCACTGATATTTTTGAAAATTTGAAGTATGATACTGTAAATGGATCTTTTCTTGCAACTGGTCAAATTAATTTTCTTGCTACAAGTATTAAAACATTTAAATATACATCAGTGATTCTTTCTACATGTATTAATCTTGATTCACTTATTATGGCCACTGTTATTTGGGTGTACCATTTAAAAGATGAATGAAAGTACAGTAGTGTTTGATAGTGCTGTTCCTGTTAACTTACCATTGCACTTGTTATAGTCTTACAAACTTGTGTAAATATTTGTTGATTTTTAAAATCACTCAATAAAACATGATAATCTAGAATATTTAACCCTCTGTTATATGGATTCATTGTTATATTGTATTTGTTTTGTTTTATTTTTTTTTTGTTAAAAGCCTGTAGCCTTTTTTTGTGGGCATGATTCATCATTCCAAAATATTTTTTTTTCAACTTGCTACTTTTTTAAATACTGTATTTACCATAATGTAAGCCACTATCCTTATTATTATCCCCTTCAAATTTTTGGTAGTTAAAGGGTTATCTGTAATATTTCATAAAAAAATAAACAAGCAAGCAAATCATTTCCATGTTTAAGTTGTAGTTTGATGATTATTCTTTTCACTGTTTTATCTGTTTCACAGTAAATTTTATCTATTTTTTTTTTGTCTGACACAAATGTGATTTTTTTCAAATCACCTATCTCTTGAAGAACTACTACCTTACATTAAAAAAATTCAGTGCTTATAAATTTGATTTTCCTTGATTTTTTTACACTCCCCATTTTTTCTAGAAAATCCATATCACAAGGCTTATAATTGGGTACATACAGTATTGAGGAAAGTAATGTATCTTCAGTATATTTTTATAGCCCTATTCCTGTCACACTCTGAAGAAATGTCATATGTTTTTTTTTCATCTACAAAGAAAGAATTGTTAGGTTGATAACAAACTCTTTGAAATGGATAAGAAAGCACTATTTCCAAAGGAAATAAAAACAAAACTTAAATTAATTATTTAAAATTTATAATGTCATATAGATCAAGATCTTCCAATGTTCTTGTTTTTATTCCTACAAATGTTTGGTCATGTAAAAAAGATTGGCTTCTTTGCTGTATTTTTTGTCTCTGAATGACAAGAAGTTACAAAAAAGTACAACTTTTTTTTGAAACTTTAAGACCATTTTTTGGAAAAATACACTTCTTGGATATGTACCTTCATTGTACTGTTTTAAGTTCTGTTACTCTTTATACATGTACCATCTTTCTATATGTGCCAATAAATGAAATATAAGAATGTAAAAACAAATTAAGATTGCCTTTTTTTTTTTGACTAAAGATCAACCCAGTTTTGTTTAGTTTTGTTTTATATTTTTAATATGTTTTAACTCTTTCCAGGATATTATTACATATCTGCAAGTGAATGACAGAATAAAAGTTAATATAATTAAAGTAAAAGTTAATCTTGTTGAAGGAATGCTATTTGAATGATATGTGAATCTATTCAAACTATATTTATTGATCAGTTTGATTTACTTTACGGATATCAACTATTTTTTTCTGACCCTTTTAAACATCTTTTACTTTCCAATTTGATTGGTTTTGGGAATTCTGAAAAGGTTTATTTATAAAAGCCCTTTTGAAGCAATGGTATCATAAAGGATTTATTTTATTTTCTAAATTATGAGTAATGGAGATTTTTTTTTCTTTTTGAAATTTCTTCACAAAAAAATCTGTAGCATGGCCATTTCTTAAGAAAACAGAGTTCCCTATTAATACAAACTATGCCCTGATATTCATTTAAAACAACACTTTTTTTGAAATTCATGATTATTCAGTGTTGCTTTTTGGACAGCTAAAACTCATAGATACCAGGCTTTTAACTTGAATAAAATTTCTGGAAAAAATTAGTCTAACAATGTGATAATTTTTAATTTATATATATACATGAGCATATTTATTATTCAAATTAGAAATGTAATGCCCTTTACTATCAGAACTTCTATGAAACAGTTATTTTAGGGCATTTACCAGTAAATATGATAATGAATCTCTTATGAACAACTTTGTTTTTATAATATCAAAGGAAAGCCATTTTTTTAACAGTATTATATTATTTTTCCATTAAGAACATGGAGCAAAATTGTTAGTAAAGATATTAACACCACAACCAATTGTGGCATTACACAAATCCCATTGTGACAGGCAAATTGTAAACAGTAAACTTTGGAAAAAGTTTTAAGGGCTTAAGTAGGGTAGAATCTCGTAATTGTTACCTAGTATGTATAAAAGGACAAAATTAGACAAAATACACTGTTGAATTTGATTTATGCACACAATTATTTTAATATTTTTATGACGAGTGCTTGTATTTGCACTTTGATTTCAATATAGTTGGTTTACATAGGTCTGTTAGTAGAACAAGTCTCAATATGAATAAAATCCTAGAGTTAATAGCACAATTTGATTCTCAGAACGGTTCTTTATATTCAATTAACAGCATCATTAAAACATACAAAAACAAAATTTAAATAAATTTTTATTTTTATGAAATTCCAATTTGTTTTTGATTAAAAGTTCCTGATATGAAAATAATTCAAGATATGAAAATGTATCACTTTGACCCCTTGTTTATTGATCAAACTTTTAACTACTTGAATACCAAGTACAGAGAAATGATAATTGGGCTGTTGTTTGTTTTTGTAATTGTTTACAAAGATTTGAAAAATTATCTTGTTACCTTAGTACTAGGAACATCTCCTTGAGAAGTATAGTTATGGCATATTATTTGTTAGCTTAATACCAGCATTGTGTATGCAGTTTATTTAAGCTTATTGTTGTTGTATTGCATAAGGAAAAGATATTATTTTTCTAGGAGTTTTTTTATTGAGATAGAAAAGTTAGACTTGATGTATCCCACTTTTTTACATTCCTGTGTGTGATTTGAAGTGTTTATTTTTGTCTGCACAATATATTCCCATGCAAAATTCCTTTTTCATCATCATTATTCCATGTTAAACATTCAACTTGCTAATGGAAATCCATGAATGCTGAATTTGAAGGAAACAAATCCCCAGTATTTTCCAAAATTATATTTCTTTTTGACTTTTTCAAAACATTTATTCATGAACTTCAGTCATATTAAAATTTTGTAAATGGGATAAAAAGAAAGATTAGCATTAATAGTGTGTGTTTCTTTTACAGTCATGTATCTTATCTTTGTTTCAGATTTATATTAAATTCGAAAAAAAATGAATGTTCATGTTAACATTTTCAAGCATAAAAAAGATTTTTAAGGGTAAAAAACATAAAAGTTTTGTTTTGAAATCTTTGTTAGCTTGCTATGCATGATTTAAAGAGTTTAATTTGGTAAGGACTTAAAAATGGATTGGGGTTGCAAGGCACTTCAGTTCAAATTTTATTAGTAATGTTTGATTTCATTGTTTATGTTGTGGAGTAAAATAAACAAAAAAGAGCATTTTAACACCTCAATACATTTATTTCTGGAAAAGTCCTTATCATTGGAAATTTTGTTGACTTGTTAATATTGTCTGACATAGTCACTTTAGTATAGGCGTCTGTTAAAAATGAAACTTTGGTGCATGAAGTATTTTTTTTTTTATAACTTTCATTGATGTTTTGATTAAAATTGTTTCAATAAAATTGAACATCCCATTGGTACATTTATAATTATTTTTAGATATTTACATGCACATCTGTTATAGCCCGTTGTTATTGATGTAATGTTTCTGTTATTGTTAGTTTTTATATTTAACCAATGCCACCAAACCATGCAGAAATTGCAGATTTCCCCTAACAAAACACATTGGAAATAAGACAATATGATTTTATGGAAAACGATATGCAGTAGATATGTTATGAACAAATTCAGTAGCAAAACAGAGACAGTTTGTCTTTTATCTTCAAAAAATATGTAAGAATAATGAAAATTAATGTTTTTATGTACTGTCATATATGTGACTTATTCACTGATCTTTTTACTAAATTATCTTAGTGTTGAAACAACTTGATGATAATCTAAAGTTCAAACATTTTAGTTTTGAAAACCATCTTTACCAAACATGCATAGTGGAAAATGTGTAACATTGCAACTAAAATGTAGTTATAAAGAAATTGAGTCATTTTTATAAAATGTATTAATAAAACAATAGCTTCAGCAAATACAAAATAATAGCCTAAGCAAATATTTTTTTCTACAATTGAAAGGTTCCATGTATATGAAGTGATCTCAATGTAAGCAAAATCCATAGCTTCTTCAGGCCCATCTGTGATGAAGAGGTTCTAAATCATATCATTATCTTAGGCAGCATCCAGTACCTCATTACCCATACTTAGGAAATTGCATGGTTTGATATATATTTTGTGTGCATTTTTGTCAAGACAGAATTGCTACAACAGTCAACTGTTCAATATTAAAAATGGAGCTTGTCACAGAAATGTATTGTTTTTGTTTTTTTGTTTTTTTGTTTTATCAATGCCTGTCAGTTAACAGTCCTGTATAATATCAGTTAAGCATTCTATAAATTCAGAAATTATTGCATGCATTTATTATTGCGATATTTGAAGAATGGTAAAAAATGCAAGATTATTTATTGCGATTTCCGGAAAAGTTGCATACATATATATCTTACAGAAATCAAAATGTGAATACTTATAATTGTGATGTTCACCCAATCACATTTTTCGCAGTAATAAAAACCTTGCAATAATTTCAGAATTTACAGTTATTGTACAAGGACAGTAACAAAAAATAATAATTCATTTTACAAGGAAAAATTTACACCTGTAATTATCATAAGTTAAAAGAGTAATTCAATAAAATCTAAAAATAAACATCTAGAGTGAAAAGACAGACCTGTACTCTCTTTATTGAGCACTTCAAGCTCTGTTCTTCACTTGACACTGAAAAAGAGAGGCGAAAGATACTAAAGGGACATTCAAACTCGTAAGTCGAAATAAACTAACAACTCCATGGCTGAAAAAGAAAAAGATCAACAGACAAACATCAGTACAAAAAACACAACGATAGAAAACCAAAGACTGAGCAACACGAACCCCCATCGAAAACTGGGAAATCTCAGGCGCTTGAAACGACTGAATGACTTGAACAGATTTAAAAATCGTCAGTAGAAACATTTATTGATTTAACTCTGGTACATTCTTAGTGTTCATGTGAAATACAATTTTTTGGGGGTAGAAACATCTGGTTCTGGGGTCATAAACATTTCCAGTACAACTATCGTACTCCGACTCAAAAATCAACTAATCAAAATACTAGATTTGGTGTTTCGAGCACAAATTTTGTACTGGATATCAGCAGGGGGAATATTAATTGACATACATAACCATATTCTGTACAGGGGAATTATCTTAGCCAAACAAATATTAGTCTATAGATATCAGGTTGTCTTACGAAACCCATCTTATTGTTTAGTGGCCAAGGGTAATGATTGGTAAAGTTCAGTCCGGGAATACAGTGGGTAAATCTTTTATGCAGATAGAAAATCTACCTAAACCTGGCTGATTCAAACGATTTTGCTTCCTGTGAATAACAAACAGTTGACTCCTAGTAGGAAATACTATAAAAAATACTTGTGCATCAATTTTCGATTGCAGAAACTTTTTACTGTCTTACAATGAGTACGAAAATTTGCATATTGATAAGTAACCATGAGCACTAGTAATCAAACATGATGTGTTCATCAGTTCAAAATTAACCAATTTCACAGTCATGTCTTTAACTGAAAATATTAAAAGTGTGTACACATTCTAAGTCTTGTGATTATAGCTGCTGCATGTGGACAAACAGATTTGTTTTACTGTAATGAGACTTATCATCGAAGTTTTACTTGCATCAGCAACATGACGGATGCCATATGTGGAGCAGATCTACTTACTCTTCCGCAGCACCTGGAATCACAGATGACGACAGATATGTTCCAATTGTAACCACAAATCCATCCTCTTTCCCCCGAATGTGACCTACCTAATCAGACATCATTGGGTTTGTACTTACAGAAGCAACACGATGGGTGCACCTGCTTATCTTTCCGGGGCTACTGAGATCTCCCCTGTTTTGATGGGTTTCGTGTTGCTCGGCCTTTTTGTTTTCTATGGCGTATTTTGTAGATGGTTTGTAAGTCTTCATTGTTTTTCTTTTTTTATCCACTAGGTGTTGTCAGATTTTGACTTCTGAATTTAAATATCCCTTTTGTATCGTCCGCCTCTCTTCTATTGAAATATGCAGAAATGTCTATTATATGCAAATGCAACTTAATACACCTGGTCTAATTCCTGATCACGAACAGGTACTGAAAAAAATAACAAAATTGAAAGTTACTTACCAATTTATCTATCAGGACCATTTTCAAACCAAAACCTAATCATAATACAGTTTGATACAATGGTAAACAGTAAGTCGTCTATATGTCCTCCGAATTATAATTCTTGGGGGTCTTTCACAGATAATTTCCTGATCCAACAAGTGGAACTATGAATTTCAAAACCATGAATTCATTTATAACTGTGTCCATGTAATCCGAATTATCAGTGTTTACTAGTTTCATTGTAATTAGAAAGAAGCTAACTGATTCTTAATTATCCATGTCTTTAATCCGTAGTTTCCTTGAATGTCATTTTCGTTTACCGTACCGATCGTGCATGTAAGACGTTACAGCCCTCACGTTCAAAAATTAAAGACTTGTGTATTTTGTTTTCAATAAGGTCGTCTGTAAGACGAATTCATGTTCAAATTGAAATTAGCTACTAGTATTTTGCATATTGATCATTAACAGATATCGTGTCTTCTCGATGGGTCTTCATCATATAATTACTCCCAAACTATTACATCGTGTTCAGCTCCCTTGTTTATCCTTACAAAGTTAAGATAACTTGTGACTTACTATCCAACTAATAACATCGAACAATATATCTGTCACGTCAGAAAACATAGAATATTTTTTAATCATTTCTAATCTTACGAAGGATAAAATACATTTTACATCAAACTTTGCCACTTCGAATAAATGATTTTAACGAATATTCATTCTAGGGGTTAAAATGATTCGCCCTCTAGTTGACATCTTGGATATACGTGTTAATAAGCATGTCCAACATCTCACGTAGATAAAATTTAGGCATATCCGAAATCGGAATATTGGAGTTTTTTTCCAAATTAGAATATCTTGTATGATCTAATGCACATAATTTCATAATTGGTTGATTGATTGTTGGCTGTATCGTATCGGTCATTTCTTGTTGGTGGAGGAAACCGGACTGCCTGGATTGAACTACCAACTTTCGACAGGAAAACTGACAATAGCCTGGCACCCTGACCCAATCTCATACTTCGTCTACTGTCAAGCAGTTGGCAAGGATCCCAGGCTAAACTGACAATCCCAGTCAATATTTTAATCGAACTCACCTACCACATGCAAGGTTCGAATTCACAACCTCAGTGTTGACAGGCTAGTTATACTGGAGATGAACTGCGAGGCCCCTCACATTTTAGAAAAATTCCCAAATATCAATGCTCTAAATGTACAAATTTCACGAAGTCACAAATTAAGCATAAGAGAAGACAAGGAAAGCAACTTTGTTAAAGATTTAGCTTCTATAACACTGCATTTACGTAAGATACATGATATAACTTTTATTAGTCAACTGGCCAATGTCTTAACGGGAAGGGTTGAGGTAAACAAATGTTTAACCCCGCCGTCCGTGCATGTGCTTGTCCAAAATCAGTAACTTCAGAAACGGTTGTCGTAGGTGATATCTTGATGGTTTATTTTTTTATCATTTTGGATAAATTGTACAAATTTTCAATCCTGGTATCTAGAATGAGTTTATTTGGTGTTGATTGGAGATCTTTGATATTCTCTGTAACGTTATTCACTAATTTTCTAGATCGATTGAGAGTTGTTATATAGACACCTGTCTCTTGCTGTAAACACCGTTTGTTGGCCTCAAGATGTATTTTTGTATTGGCACATGGGTTGCCCTCTCATTAACGTCTTGACACCCCACATATTCTTTTATCGAAACCAAATAAATCATGTAAACCGAGTACAACGTAACGGTAAGAAACATTCTTCGACGGGGATATGCAGGTAGCAGCAGACGTCCCGACGATCAATGGGAGAAAATATAAAAAATAACCCTCTTAGATACACTCATTCCAAAACTTAACAAAGCCAAAAAATAAGTCGTCTATAGAACATGGAGACAATAAGGGCCTTAAAATTATAGACAAAACCATGTACGATCAACTTTGCCGGAGGAAGTTGCCACCTTAGTTTTAGCAAAATTAGATAATTTATGAACAGGGACTTTACAGATAAAATGTATCATTTGAATCACAACAGTACCAAAACAACAATTACTCGGTGGGTGGTACCCTCAGTGACTGGTAGTTTATTATCAAAGTTGTACTGAGGTAAAAAGAGTTCTGAATGTGATTGCATATCATTCGAAGATTTTATTTTTGCTTATTGTTATTCCTTTTATTCAAGATGAACCGTTTTTATCCATAGATTCCGTATGGTATAAGAAACACATTGAAACGTCGTAGCTGATAGCCATGCTTAGTAAGTGTTATGGGGAGTCTTTGCTATAAAACAGTTGTAAGAACCTAAAGATATCATGTGGTAACAATAAACTGAATTTGACAATCCGTAACACATGCAGTCCAAAGTTTGACCTCTTCTCCAAATGAGGGAATACTTTTGAAAACCAGTTTCAGTAGCCGATACAAAGCTAGTGAATGATGAAGCAAACTTTTTGTTTGTGTAATGATATGATTAAGAAGTAACAACCCAGAGAGTATCAACTGAACCGTGCTGGAATCGCAAGCAAGTTTTGCTATATAATTGAGTCCAAACTTCAACATACTCACGATATAAAAGTGAAGAAAACGAGAGTGATTTAGAAAAGTCAACGGTCCAAAAAAACCATTATTGCACAATACATTAAACAAAACTTTTGCAGATAGGAGAAAATCTACAGTATCAATAGGATGTAGGTATGATTATTGTCAACATAAAATTGTATATTTACAAATATTTGTAGAACTGAGTCTGGGAATGTCATTCATGGGAAAGCTTATTCCTTATTTGCAACCTTATCTATAAGTAAGAGTAAATGAATGAAAGTAGCTAAAGAAGTGTGTCTGACAATGCCATTCATTGGTAAAATCTATTTTTTTTTTCAATTCAGTTGCCTCATATATAAACAGTCATTATGATTCAGCAACAATATCTAGCACGTTGAAAATTACTCACATCAAATATTTTAGTCAAGGAAAATTGAGATTCACTTACATTTAAATGGGTAAGTCATTAAAAGTTGAAATCTACTTATATGAATAATATTCTAATAAAGAAATTGAAATATAGGAATATCAAATATTCTATTCACAGTAAATTGAGTTACTGGTATTC